TGAATCTTTAAAACCTCTGGTGTGTTGTTGAGGGCTTAACCTCCTTTAGCTGATCTCAGTCTTTCAAAGAATAAGACTTTTTAAAAAAAAATAATATATAAGATAACACAGATGAGAACTTTTAATAATTTGTTAAAGTCAAATTCTTACTCCTGAATCTTTAAAACCTCTGATGTGTTGTTAGTCTTTCAAAGACTCAAGACTTTTTTTAAATATATATTGAAGATTACACATATGAGAGCTTTTAAGACATTTTTTGAGTCAAATTCTTCCTCCTGAATCTTTAAACCTCTGGTTTGTTGTTTAGGTCTTAACCTCCTTTATCTGATCTCAGTCTTTAACAGAAAAGGCCCTTTTCTCCTCCTGTTTTTGTTACATAACCGAATAACCCGCTCTGGTCCCAGCGGGCAGCCGGGGCTCCATCTGTTCGTTAGCGTTAGCGTTAGCTTATTCCCACCGCTAAAGTGGGAATAATCCGGACCTGTGGTCCTGATGCTGTCACACAGACAGGACCCCCCCGATCGGGATCTGAGGCCCCCACGGGGCCGTTTGAAGCCTGATCAAAGCCCCGACTCCAGGTATTAAGGGGGAATACACCCCTAATACCCTGGATGATGTTGTTTTATTATCGAGCTGAAAGTGGCCCGATCGAGGAGTTTTAGCGCACAAAAAAGTGTCAAATCAGCCGTGTTTTTATGGATAAACATCAACCTTTTGAGGGTTTATATTCAGGTAATCTTTTGGGAGCTTTAGGGTTTTATTCTGTGGGAGTTACAGTGGCAGGTTTTTTTTTTCTGGACTTTTTCTAGCTGATTTTGAGTTTTTTGTTGTGGATTTCGTTGTTTTTACTGTCTGTAAGAACAACAGACGACTAAAATGTACTAAATAACAAGAGGCATCATTCAGCTATATTTTGTTAGCGTTAGCTTATTCCCACCGCTAACGTGGGAATAATCCGGACCTGTGGTCCTGATGCTGTCACACAGACAGGACCCCCCCCCCGGGATCTGAGGCCCCCGCGGGGCCGTTTGAGTCCCGATCAAAGCCCCGACTCCGGGGTATTAAAGGGGAATACACCCCTAATACCCCGGATGATGTTGTTTTATTATCGAGCTGAAAGTGGCCCGATCGGGGAGTTTTAGCGCACAAAAAAGTGTCAAATCAGCTGTGTTTTTATGGATAAACATCAACCTTTTGAGGATTTATATTCATGTAATCTTTTTGGGAGCTTTAGGGTTTTATTCTGTGGGAGTTACAGTGACAGTGGACTTTTTCATTGTTTGAGTTTGAGTTTGAGTTTTTTCTTGTGGATTTGGTTGTTTTTA